AAGACAACTAGAAGTAAAACGTCATAGGAGATATCTAATGAGACAGGTAAAATCCCCCCCTCCCTTCCCTACCTTCTATTCCTTCTCTGCATAGTCTTACCTTTCTCACTGGACATCTGTCCAACTTTTGATAAACTGACACTAATACTTAATCTAAATAATCAATTTTACCTCACTTCTCTTGACCTATTACGGCTCAGTGTGTCCCAACTAGCACACGTACCTTGTGTCGTGCGCGAACTCATACAAAAATTTGTTAATTTTTTAGACAATAACAATCTACCACGAGATATTATCCCGAGGTATCGTGGGAACCGTCTACACATTTTGTTTCACACTTGTTTTACTTTTTATAAAACATTATAGTAAATAATTGGAATATTCAGTGATGAATAGAAAGATCTCCTAATGCAACAATTGGATATATATCTTGCAAATTAAGAACAAGAAAAAATAAAACTATAATTTATCTGGATGATCTTGATGACCTTTCTAGAGAAAAGGAAGTTATGCGGTCTATTCAGGTAGCACATAAAAGTAGAACGAAAACTCAACTACAGCATGTTCAAAAAAAGGTCTAAGATTTCTAAACGACAGACTTTAAAACGTCAAAAAATGGATGAAAAAGAAAAAAGAAAGTTAGACCGTACTTTATTTGTGCAGTATACCAGTGAAATTCTAAATTTATGTAAAATCTTGTCTACTAAACAAATTGACGATTTAATTGTTATGAGTAAAAGAATTGTTGGGAGAAATCTCTACCAGAAATGGTATGATACTGATTCAACAATGATAGTCTTAAAAAATGGCAGAGGTGTAAAACTTAAAAAAGCACAAAAAAACATTCAATAAAAATTTCAGAAAAAATTTGCTGAAATGTGGCTCATCTAGGTCATATCAGTTTCAAATTTAAATATGTTATGATATTTATCATTACTAATGTGATTTTAACTAAAATCAAGTTTAAAATAACTTTACTGCATTTAATTCATAAGAATTGAAATTTTAATGGAACTTGCAAAGAAAGGTATTGCAAGTGGTGGAACTTGCAAATAGGTATAGGAAGTAGTGGGTTTTGTTAAGAAAGGTACCGCAAGTGGTGGAACTTGCAAAAAAGGTACAGCAAGTAAAAGAACTTGCAAACAAAAGTACCGCAAGCGGTGGAACTTGCAAAAAAGCAAGATTTGATAGACGGCTCTAGCTTATGTTCACGTCGCGTCTATCGTTGTTTTATTAATAGAGTTATATATCTTAATCATTAACTCTAATCCAAGACACAAATTGATTAAAATGTTATTTCAAAATATGTTTTATTTAAAAATATTTTTTTTTAGGATCACATGCTCTTTCCTCTGAAAAAGGGATGACTATGATACATCTATGACTACATCTTCGACTATGATACATCTTGTAAAGTTGTAAAAGGTGTTGTTTAATTAAAATCGATCATTTTAAATAATATTGTTTTAAATATTTTTTTAAAACTAATTATAAACTAAGTTTTTTTTTTACGTTGGGAAGGGGGGGGAGGGAGACCTCTTCTCTCAAGTTGACTGTACGCCACTAGTATAGATTGTAAAGTAGTAAATACGATTTTTTTTTTATGATAGATTTATTCTTTTAAATAAATATACAAATTTTTATATAAATGATATTTTTTTAATAATCGGGTGTATTAAACCACCACCTCCATACCCACTATAACAAAAGACACTTCACTTAATTGGCCTTGGTATGAAAGAAAATCACAACAGCTTTTTATATATGAAAATTACCGATTAGTCAAAAAAAAAATGCTCTTCTATAAAAAAAATACGCAATTTTTGGTGGCTAAGATGGTGGTTGTTGTAAATTTGTAACCCATTGTTACATCTATCTTTTAATATCAAGTTATAAGCATTTAGATAAGAATTGGCAAAGTTATATAAATTTTTGCTCATAAAAACTTTATTTTTACCACAGTTTCTTCAACAAATCCTAATATCCAAAAATCGACATTTAAAACGTCATAACTTTTTTTGAAACTGTTCGATTTTTTCGATTATAATTTTTTCAATTTTATAATATTGAATTTATGCACTTTCTAATGATATATAACAACCTAGAATTTGATCAATTTAAAATTTTTAATCCACATACCTATTCTGATACAGCTGTAAATATCTCAACATCATATTCCAAAATATCTCAACATCATATTCCAAAATATCTCAACATCATATTCCAAAATATCTCAACATCATATTCCAAAATATCTCAACATCATATTCAAAAATATCTCAACATCATATTCAAAAATATCTCAACATCATATTCAAAAATATCTCAACATCATATTCCAAAATACAACAAATTGATGTAGTTAAATCTGCTTATAATAAACTACTATCTGCATAAAGATTAATAGATGCGAAGATTAATAGATGGATAATCCCTTGTGTTGTCTGACAACTTTAAAAGGTCCGTATGAAATTAGCAGGTACCACAATTGATCATATGTTTGGTTGCATAGTTATTTTGGTGTTGCATTTAGAACTAATGTAGGGGATTTAGCTTCTATGAAAACAGATACCCTGGCATCCCTTTATCATGTTACCTCAAATAAGAAGAATAAGTTTTGTTTCTTATCTACATAAACGATCTTCCTGACAACCTTTCATCTAAAGTAGCTCTTTTTGCTGATGACTCAACTTTATACTCCTGTCTTGACAAAAAGTCTTCTCTTTTCGATCGCCTAGAACAAGCAGCTGATCTTGAATCTGATCTCACTTCAGTAATAGATTGGGGTTCACAGTGGCTTGTGAATTTCAACTCTAAAAAAACCCAATTGCTTACTGCAAACAACTACCGTAATATGGTCAACATTCCTATATTAATGAATGGCAATCCTCTTACTGAGTCATCCTCTTTACGTCTTCTTGGATTATCGCTTACTACTGACCTTTCATGGAAACCATATATACAATCAATTGCTAAATTAGCTTCTGCTAAGGTTGCTTCTCTTTATCGTGCTCGCCATTTCCTTACTTCTGATTCCATTCTCTACCTCTACAAATCTCTTATTCGTCCCTGTATGGAATACTGTTGTCATATATGGGCTGGTTCTTCTAACGATTCACTCTCTCTTCTTGACAAGGTCCAAAAACACATTGTAAATGTTGTTGGACCTGGACTATCTGCTAAGCTTGAACCTCTTTCCCATCGTCGTAAAGTTGCATCTCTTTCTCTTTTCTACAGATACTATCATGGTCACTGCTCAAAGCAGTTATCATCTCTAGTTCCATCAACTAAAATTCATTCTCGTTTTACTCGTCATTCAGCTAAGTCTCATTTGTTTTCTGTATCTGTCCCTGCATGCTCTAAAAACTTTTATTCATCTAGTTTTTTTCCCCGCACTTCAATTCTTTAGAACTCTCTCCCATCTTCATGTTTTCCTGACTCATACAACCTTCAACTTTTTAAGTCTTCTGTCAACCGTTTCCTTGCTCTATAACTCTGTTCTTTTTTTTTCCTAGTAACTCCCAACTTAATAGTGGTTGCTTGCAGCCTTGTTGGGAGTGAATGCAAATAAAAAAAAAGAAAAAAAAAAAGAAGAGTAATCTGCATTTTCCACAATGCCTAGTAGGAACTAAGAGTTGGTGTAAATGTAGTTCAGATAATGTCAATGGCACAAATACTTGTAAATCTAGACCATGTTTACCAATAAATATTGTTTATAAAATCAAACCAATCTTTGAGGAATTCAGTGCTGAAAATAGTTGAAAATTGCTTACATGGTTTTTTTAACTATAGTATGTTTTACCCAAACGTTTTGACCTGTTTTAAAGTTGTATTTGCTAATTTTATTTTTCATTTCGCATTTTCTTCTCTTTTTACACGCAGGCCATTCCATCTCAATAACCCTTTTACCAATTTTGATGACATTTTCAGGAGTTGTTTTTCTAATTATAAGCTACGTTTTAATAGAATATTTTTTTATAGTTTTAGATTTTGTTATTTTTAATATTTTTAATAAAAAATATTTTCGCTATCTTTAAATGTGCACACAGAGCTCAGATTTTTAGTTACAGAAAAATGCTTCTATTAAAACACCCTTTGACCTATTTTAAAGCATTTGGTAAAAGGTTATGAACAGATCTTGCACGGTTATTTGGTTTTTATGGCCGATGTAAATGCATTTCTTGTCCATTTTCTTTTGTTTTTTGTGGTTACTATGGCAACCAAGGATCATTTAGTACCCACTGATGTTGATACTAAAGACATTACACTGGAGATAAGAACGATTATGTAATAAAAAAATATTTTAGTTTCTACCTATTGTAGACCGCCTGAAAAAAGTTAAATGTTTAATTATTTAAAAAAACCTTCAAACGAAAAAACTATTTTGTATTAATCTACATAAAACATTACCTATCTTTTGTATATCTACCATACATATTTTCCTAAAATGCAAAAAATAATAAAACCAAAATACTTGAATTGATCAATGACGGAACTTAAAAATTATCAAAAACAAAGGAAAAAGTTCTGTATCGTAAAAATAGCCTAAACTCTACAAATCAAAGCTTAAATTAATTAAAAATGAAAGCTTAAACTTTAAAAAGACTAAACTATGAAGAGCTAGAAAACTTGGCAAGAACTCACTGAAAATGATGAATCCAGACATTGGTAAGATTTGGAGTAATGCAGTTGTAAATGTTTTTCCAATAATAAACAAACACATTTGAAATATTTTCAAATCTTCAATAATTACGATTTATAAATGATAAATTAATATATTTATATTAAAATGATACTTTATAGTAAAATAAGGATAAGTTCTCACCTGCGGAGAAACTTTTACAACTTTTAACGCAAATATAACAGGTATTATTATTTTAACATAATCTAAAATTTGATGTTTGTGCTAAGGTATAAACTTGGGACTGTCCATAATCATTTTTTCAAAATTTCCTTCTAATAAAAAAAAAAACATATAAAACCAGAAAGAACCAAAAACATACAGTAACATGAAAATATTTTGTTTTAATATTATTAAAAAAAAATCCTTTTTCATATCGTGGACCTTATCTATACAACAATGTAATGAACAACATTTACAAAATTTACAAAATCAAAAATCTTGAGTTCTCTGAAAACATTAAAAAAAGACTTTTTTATATATACATATACTTTTGAAAATTACAACATTTAAAATATATACATATACATAATACAATTTTCAAAACAATATTTATAAGTATAAAAAAAAGTAGAATAAATAAAAAATTACTGCTAATAAAGATTAAGTTTATTTTATAATATTAAATACATGAACGAATCTTAAATATAGCCATGTACTAAGATGAAGCCATGTACTAAGATGTAGCAATGTATTATGTTGTAGCCATGTACTAAGATGTACTTATGTGTAAATTCTATTTCCAAATACGATGTGTTTTTTTTTACGGTTTGACTTTTTTATTTTTGGATTCTTTTATTTTTAGTTTTATGTCAGAAAAACTAAAAATAAAAGAATCCAAAAATAAAAAAGGAAATAGCATTAAACTGAGGGAATAACATTGAACTGAAAAAATAGTATTGAACTTAGAAAATGAGATTATTTTTAAATATGAAGTTATTGTAAAAGAAGTATACAAAAATTATAAATAACTTCATGAAAATACCACAAGTAACGTAAAGTGGTTTCTTTATTGGTCTTCTGCAAGTTTTGTATAACGCAGCATTTGTAGGTTTGTATTAAATTATTATATGCTTCGCAAGCAATTTCATTTTTTACAAATTCGCGATGATTAAAGGACAAGAAACAAAACAAAAACAAGCTAACAAAAAAATACATACCATTTTTACATTATAAATGGAAGTTTTATTTACATATATCTCTTTTAAAAAAGCTGCTTATTTGTTCTGGTTCAAAGATTAAATAATATTTATTTACATATATGAATCTTTTGTTTGTGAGAACATTTTTGACACGTGACTTTGCAACACCATACAAATTTGCAAGAACAATTTTTCTCTATTATTTTTATTTGAGTATGGTATCCTTTTCCACAACACATATTTGAACATGAACCGATTTCATCAGAGCTTTTTACTTTACACCGTCTTCCTGCAACCGAATTGCAGTACAGTGGTGATTTCTTAAGAAAAACCAATTGAGTGTTGGTTACTAAAGGTATTTGTTCATTAATTGGCATCAAAACTTGTTTTGTGCTAACATATTTTATTTGGACTTTAATTGCTTTTTCGTATTCTTTTTTTAATAAATTACCGATTTGACGAAAGTTAGCAACGGATTTTGAACATATTTTGGTTGTACAAGATCCAGACGTTCCATGACATGTGCATTTCCACCACATTGTTTGCTTCACAGTCTGAAAAGTAAATGTGCATTGACTATCAGTTATCCATTTTATTAATGCAAGATACCAGTTCTTTTAAATCAACTAAAAAAGAATAAGGAAAGTAAAATCTTACTATTCTACCAGCTTCATTATTGTGTAAATTCATTAGACTTCTATCATGATTAGAAAATAATTTTGTTAGACTCCATTTTAGCTCAACGCTGTCTATAAACTGTTTTGCAAAGCTTGTTCCAAATACAATATTATCATTGCAGCTTTGCCATTTGGAACTATCTTTCTCATGAGTGGAAGAAGTTTTATCGCAAGAACATGATGTTAATTGGTTGCTTGAACAAGCTTTTGTTATTTCGTGAGAAACTCCTGCAGAAAATATTGCACTAACAAAAGCCGCTTCCCGAGAATCTGTAAAAAATATTGACAAAGTGATTATTTTCTGTATTTATTTTAACGAAAATCATAAGTATATAGCAAAAATAACTTTACTAAAGATAACTTTCATAATGATACTAACGACTAAGAGAGGTTTAGAGCAGCCACTGAATCCATCCTTTTGGAACATAAAAGGAATTCATGCTTTTTGGGAACTAAAAAGAATCCATGCTTTTATGACCTAAAAAGAGCCCTTGCTTTGGGAACTTAAAACGTTCTAGACGCTCAAAAAAAAAGGTATTTTTTTTTATTAATTTCTGAATATTTTATTTTTATTATTTAATATCTTATCTAATTAATTTTTAATTGCTAATTTTTTTTTCAAAATTTATTTTACTTTCTTTTAGGTATATAAAAAAAAAAATTTTTGTTTTTCAGGTATCATAAGTTATTAGTAAAATAAATCGTTATTATCAATCACAGTTAAGGATGTCATTAAAATATGTAGTCATAAAATTATCAGAATTGCAAAGTTTATTGTTTCAAAAAATCAAAAATTTGAATCCTTCTTCTGTTGCTCTGTGTACTTTTAAGCAGGGCTAAGGAGTCGGAGTCGGAGTTGCGGAGTTGTGACATTTTTAGCGGAGTCGGAGTCGGAATTGCTAAACAAAATCGCGACTCCGACTCAAATAGTAAAATTTCTCGGTATTGCACGTGCATGTACAAAACATTCAATTAACCTTATGTTCATACTAAACCTCAAAGAACGTTTCATAAATTTGTCAAAAAATATATTTTTAACTTATCGCGTAATATTTTTTTAAAAATTCAAAGAATTTTTCTAAAATTTTGCTTTGGAGTTGGAGTCGAAGTCGGAGTTGGAGTCGGAGTTGGAGTCGGAGTTGTACTCAAAAAATTTCAACAACTGGAGTCGGAGTCGGAGTTGTACTCAAAAAATTTCAACAACTGGAGTCGGAGTCGCTACTTTTTTTTTACGACTCCACACTCCTGCTTTCCATACCAACCTCGCCCTCACCCCCTAAATAACTAAAAATCGTAACTGGAATAAGGCTTTTTTTAAAGTAAAATATAAAATTTTCTCGGAATAAAAGATACGTGAAACTCTGAGGTGCCGAAAAAACGCAAATAAATTTTCTTTCCTTCTTCCCCCTCCTCTCCCCCCCCCCCCTACACACACACCCTTCTTGCCGGGGGCAAGAAGGATTGATTTGATGATTGCACATCTCCAAGTAAATAAAAATTAATGATTTAATTTATTGTTTGACTATCTTCAAATTTAGCTTTATTTGCTTTTCTAATAATATATATTATTAGAAAATATAATAATATATATTAGCTTAATATTAAGCTTGCCACTTATCAATCCTGAATGGCGCTCATTTAAAAATGTTAATACCTATTCTTAAAGCTTCAAAATCTCAATTTGATTTTTCTCTTGTGAGTTAACTCATTTTTTTGTTGGCCGATCAATTAACGCTTACGTTTTTAATTCCTAAATTTTTTTTGAATATCAAAACCAGAAGATAGAACTGGTGTTTTATCAATTTGAAAATCTGTTTTTTTTCTGCTGATAAAAGGAAGTTGTAATAGACTTAGATTATTTGATGTTTTAGAAAAAAAGAAAACTACTGACTTTCTTTTTCCAGTGTTTTTTTGTAAGTTCTTTTAAAACTGGATCATACGTCTTTGTGTTTAAACTTATACCACAAGTTATTAACTTTTTTTGTTGCCACTGTTTTTTCTGTTGCTACTGTTTTTCCTGTTCCTACTTTACCTTTTTTTGCTTTTGTTACTTGTTGTTAAATTTTTTGCTACTTAGTTTAACCATAGTGAATTTCCAAAAAACCAATTGTTTTAGAATACCCTTTGTCATAAAAAAAAGCATGTGCTTTTGGGCACATTTTCTTGGGTGAAATTAAGAGTGGCCTTAAGGTATTTTATAAAGTTTATATATATAACTTAATATTTTATAGTTGTTAGTTTATTAAAAATAATTTTTCTCATTGAAAAGAGAGTTAAGAAATAATTTTTATTTTTAATTTCTTGATTCAACTGAGGAGATGCTGAAACAACTATTTTTCCGTAACAAACGCTCCCTGTACAAAGTACAAATCTCTTAATGATTGGAACACCACATTCTGGATAACCACCAATTAAAGGATGTTGTATATATTTATTTCCAAAATGCGTTTGATTCTGCCTATATTTAACTCCATAACTGATAATCTGGATTGTTGTTTAAAACCTTATGCCGATGATATAAAGTAAATATAGTTCGTACCGTGACATAAAACTATGCCAATATTTAGTTTTTGCTTTAAATAGGCTTGTACTCTGAGTAGAAACGTGGCAACTATCAATTGCTAGTAGTAAGTATTTTGTACTTAGAATAGCACCTCCCTTATTAGGCAAAAGTAGGAAGGATATCTATAAATTAGGTGAGTGTAATTTGGCTTGGTCTACCAACTCAAAAGATCTAAGATTAACAATGGACTGTAATTTTAACTATAAAAAACGTACTTCTAACGTCATCCATCAAGCTAACTCTAGAGCACATCTAATATTGAAATGTTTTAAAACTCGTGAGCCTTGTATTCTAGTTAAAGCCTTCACTACCTATATAGAATTTTAAATCTGTTTTCCAGTTTGGTCGCCACACCAAATTGGGTTGATTAAATCAGTTAAAAGCGTCCAACGAATATTTTCTGAGAAAATTAGAAACTTTAGAAATTTTTCATATCATAATCGACTACAGTTGCTTGGTTTGGAATCACTTGAAGTTCAGCGCCTTAAAATTGTCTTAGTAACATGTTTAACAAAATGACTTAGTAACATGCTTAAAATTTTTCAACAAACTATTTTGTACTTAAAAATCTATATTCTTTACAATTGAAAACAAAAGCTGCACCCGTGGTAATATTTATAAAATACGAAAACAAATTTGTCGAACAGGTTCAAGAAAAGTTTTTCTTACCGAGTTGCTGACATTTGGAATAATATAAACTCGCAAACTCTGCATGAAAAAAACATTTTAACATTTAAAGATAAATTAAACTCTATTGACAACAAATATTCTAAAAATTTGTTTCTTTATAATTTTATAATTGTTTTTGTGGTGATTTTTTATGGGCATACTGTCTTTGTCCAACTTTGTATGGGCGTACGTGTCCTTTTATAACATTTTTTTCATGTTCTAATAAAAATCAATCTAATCTAACTATGATTTTTTATATAAAAAGTTTCTAATAGCATCCAAACGCTGTTCCTTATAGCATCTAAGCGCTGCTTTTTATAGCATGCAAAGTTTCGTATGAAAAAACAAATGGTTTCATGTTTCATTTTATTTTTTAAAATGTTTTCAATACTTATTTTTAATGGTTGGTTTGATAATTCTATTTACAATAACAATAAAAGTTTTTATTTTTACTCTGTCTTTTGTAAGAAAAATTGCAATTTAGTTTAACGCTCTGAAAGTTAATTTATATGTTATTTTAAAATATTGTTAGAATTTCATTTGTTAAGAGTTTGAAGAATTAATTTTTTTTTTACAAAAATATTATGTGCAACAAAGATATGTATAAATTTAATTTAATATTATAATTTACGACAAATTGAGAAGCTGTCACATAAAGAGATTTACAAAAACGTAAACCCTCTATATTGATTTACAAAAACAAAATCAAAAAAAAAAAAAAATAGTTTTCCGATGTCCTACTGAGATCATATGTATATATGTAAAACGTCATAAAACATATTACATGTTTTATCACGTTTTCATTCATAACTGATTTCAGCTTCAACCAATATTAATTTATTCAACTAATGTGTTGTTTAATACATCTTTAATTACTGTTTTTATATATTTATATTATTACTTTACTTTTTTTTGTTTAACAAGTTCAAACTAAACAAGATTTAACTGATAAATTTACAAATATATACTAAAACAGTCTTTGACGATTATCTAATTATCTTTGTTTTTTTGTACTTTTTAGCTGTCAATTTTTGTTTTACTTTATTAGCTGTAATTTTTTTGTACTTTTATTGCCTGCTATTTTTTAGTACTTTTATTAGCTGTCATTTTTTTGTACATTTATTAGCTGTCAAATTTTTGTACTTTTATTAGCCATTTTTTCAAAATAAAGTCAAATTCAATAATAAAAAAATTTAATCAAAATGATATACTAGCTGTTTATATTTTAATTTCATGTAATTATTTTAATCACTTTGGACAATTTTAGAAAATTAAAAACTAAAATTAAAAAAATTAAAACTCGGGTCAAGTCATCCAGATCATTTTAGTTTGCAATAATGCAATTCGTTTTGTTTAATTTCTCGCATTTTTTTATTTTAGATGCTAGTTTGTTTATTTTAAACTGATTGTATGTTTACTGTATGTTTGTGGAAGAAACAATTGAACCTTCATACCATATACTTATGGTTCTTGAGAACGTTTGCTGAGATATAAGAAACGGAAACAGTTTCTTATATCTTAGCTTTTAATACCCGTTTTATATATTCACATACAACTACCTTAAAATAAAAACTTATAGAATACCGGGAATAAGTCTGTTAATTGACAGAGAATTTGACTGCTAGAATTTAACTGAAAAAATAACTATATTGTAATTAATATTTAGAACTTTATTAACACGTAAATGGTTTATAAATTTACATACCAAGCACTAATGAATCTCCGAAGAGCAAAGGTAGTCGAGCTTGTAGGGTACCTCCTGAGTCATTTTTTTTATGAGCTATACAGTTCCAGCGCTCCCAGCGAAATTGATGCCTAATTAAATAAAGAACACAAATATTGATGAAAATTGTTCATCATAGGTTACTGCCTTTTTATTCTGTCAAAAAGTCATTATTTTTTTCACTGCGTACCTCAAAAATTACATCAACATAAAAGCTAATAAAGTTTGGTTCAGACAAATTTAAACTTTAGGATTTGGTTTTTGGTAGATACATTTTGAGTAGATTGTTTATGTGATTGCTGACTTTTTTTTTGTTACTATATTTTTCACTCATTAGCTATTTTTTTAATGTGCAAAAATATATCTTAAAGTTGCATAAAACTGTTATTTATTTTTATTATTAATATTTATCTATGAGCGTTGTTTATACAATAAGAGAAGAGAAGCATTTAACTAGAAGATTCAACTAACTCAAGTTTATGAAAACTAAAGATGTTTTGAGTTTATTTGAAGTCATAAATGAAAAGTAACAAACAAAAATTTAAAAAAAAAAGAAAGAAGAAAAGATAACTTTTATTAAGTGCGCATATATTGGAAATATTTGTCTAGCAACAAAGGTAAGAATTCCTTAAATTCCATAATAGTTTAAAATCTTAATACAGCAAGTTAGGGTGCCATGTTAAGAGCCAACAACTTTTAATGATTTTTCCTGCTTGGCAAAGAACAGCAACAAGAGTCAAAGAAGATAGTGATGTACCAGAGAGCGATAAAAGTGATTATTCACATGAAAAGTTGTTAAAAATAATACTGATGAATACTCCCTTAGATGTTGTTCAAAACTCAATGTCCCACAATTTAAAGATATTGTTAAACATTTTAAAGTTGTATCTAAATTTGATAGATATCTGTGGCAAAGAGACGTTTCTTATAGAAATATATCGTGATAAACAACAAAAAGTTTATGTGTAAAACATTCTCAAATGTTCATTTACAACTTCAAGTTATTGTAAGCATAGTTCCATTGTAGTATTTCGAGTTGTGGCAAGCATAGTTCCATTGTTACACTTTTAAGTTTACTTTTTATACGCACCTCAAAAATTACTATTAGAACTTGCCTCAATATTATCAGACATAATACTTATATTATGTCTGATAATTTTGATTTTACATTTTTATTAGTATAAAAAATGGACACTTAAAAGCATATTAAAAAGTCAATTTTGCAAACTAAAATCTGACTTCATCATTTACTTCATACTTTAGCTCAAAAGTTTGATTTAAAAAACCAGAAAAAGTTTTCAAAAAAAAAAAAAACTTTAAACAGTAAAAATAACAATGCTGATTTTTTTCCCAATAGCTTAAATATTTAGATTTATAAAGTTTTCTCATTTCTCATATTTATGTGGTTTTTTGAGTGCAATTATTTTTGAAGTGTGATTACTTTTGCTGAGCATTTACCTGAAATTCAGGTGTAACAAACAATTTAGTTTTAAAAAACTTGTATAGAAACAAACAAAAATAATAAGATTAAAAAATTAACATAATATTATCATAAATTTTAAAACCTGCATTCATCATAAGCCATTTCCGCACCAATAGCAACTTTTGGGATAAGATCGCCATAATTTATGCATAACTGACGTTGTGTGTCTGTTAAAAAATTTCTATCATCACACAACTTTCGGTTGTACACAATTGAGCTTGTCGATAGTGCTAACATCCTAAATAATATAAGCATATATATCCATTCATATTTATTATGATTTTTAGTCGTGTATTTCTTTATATAAATATAAATAACTTTATATAAATATAAATTAAATTAAAAAAAAAGTACATAAGGTTCATTGGTCATCTATAATTTTTTCCATTTTATGAAAAAAATCAAAGATGACCAAGCAAGAATATATATATATATATATATATATATATATATATATATATATATATATATATATATATATATATATATATATATATATATATATATATATATATATATATATATATATATATATATATATATATATATATATATATATATATATATATAATGGTTGTAATGGTGGTAGTACCAAACAGCTATTCGGAGGAATAGTTGTTTGGTACTACCACTTTTTTTTTATTCAATTTTTTTTTTATAACAACGTATGTGACTTTAGTAATTTCGATCCTTATAATTTTCATCACAAAGACCAATTATAAAACTAGCTTTAAATAAAGCTTTGATTTCCGTTAATGCTTTTTATGTCAAAAGCGAAATATGAACTCTAAATCTTCGGATCTGAAGTCCCGCTCTATAACCTATAAAGTTATAATAAAATTTAAAATTTACATAGACACGCCGTCTATTTTAGACATTTTTGGAAATTATTTAAAAGTCTATGGTTTTGTTCCAACTTAATATTGAAAAGTACTATAAAATAAAATAGTAAGATAATTTTTGATAACCATGCCAAGCTATAGAAAATACTGAGTTTATAGAAATAGAAACTTACTTTAGTTTTTATAAAAACGATTTTTTTTTTACAAAATAAAATTGTTTTTATAAAAACTAAAAGTAATGTGTGTACTACGTCACATATATGTGTGTGTGTACTACGCCACACACTACGCCATATATGGCGTAGGGAGGTCAAGAAAGTTGGGGAGGGGGCTGAAACAGAAAATAAAGGGGGCTAAGGCCGCCAGAATCAGAATTTCAATGTAAAATATAGAAATTTTCTGAAAGTTGGGGGAACTTTGGCCCCTCCGCTTCTCCCTGTTCCAACTATGTATATATATATATATATATATATATATATATATATATATATATATATATATATATATATATATATATATATATATATATATATATATATATATATATATATATATATTTGAAGTAAATAACGTTACCGTTTGGGTGGAAGAGACTTAACAAGTACTTAACGCTTATTTTTATTTAAAATTAATAAAAAATTAAAACAAAAATAACTAATATAAATAATAAAAGAAATTATTATTATGTTTTAAGGTATATTAAATATTTATATAATCAAGTCCTTACATCCATTGTTGGCCAAGTAAACCGTGAATAGGTATTAGTATCAAAAAAATATAGTTAGAAGCTTCGATGCCATGTGATTGACAATGTTTTTTAAAAAAAGTCATTTTATACTACCACAAAAGTTGTTATCAACTTCATGATAAATTATCGATCATTCAAAGTTTTCACATAGACGTGTAACATATCCTTTCTTTTTTAATATCTTCACTCAAAATAAGCCTCCAAAGTTAGCGATAAATCAAAAGCTTTAGCTTTTATGTGAGAAATTGTCTGCATCTTCTTAACTCGTGTTTTTCGATGAGTGTGCTAACAACTGAAAACAATCGATTGGATCAAAGCAAAAAAAAAACCGACAGAAAAAACAAACTTTTATCGATTACCCGATTTTAATAAACCAATAAAATTTTTTGAGTTGTAAATGTAATTGACAATGTAAATAACTTAAATTTTTTTCTTTTATTTTTTAAAAGAAAAACTGAAAACTTTCATTAAATAAATGTCGTCAGCGTAGTGGGCCCTGGTGTAAGACCTCTTCATCAAATTATAAATATATTTATTGTATTTGTTTTTTTAATAACCGAGTAAAAAAACTTAAAATATATATATTTAAATATATAGCAACATAAAATATATTTTTACAAAATATTTGTTTATATATATATATATATATATATATATATATATATATATATATATATATATATATATATATATATATATATATATATATATATATATTTTTTGTTCTTTTTATTTATTCAAAATAAGTTTTACAATATAAGAATGAACAAGATTCATAAAATACATATAGTAAAAATTACAAACTTTGTTAGCGTTAAAATAAGAAGAACGCGGATACTCGCAGAAGATCATAAGATCTTATCATCGAGAACCGCCTAAACAGATATATATATACATATATATATATATATATATACATATATATATATATATATATATATATATATATATATATATATATATATATATATATATATATATATATATATATATATATATATATATATATATATATATATATATATATATATATATATATATATATATATATATATATATATATATATATATATATATATAAACGTTGTTTTGCTAATCAAAACTTTTTCAGTGGTGTTACTTAAGAAACAAAGCAATTGTTTCAAGTTAGTAAAGAAATAATTCGTGCTTAAGTGCGAGTCGAAGCGCAAAAAGCAGACAAACGGGAAGCATTAAATTATACCGCAAGAGGTCTAAAGTAATTGTAACTTTCGGGAAGCATTATTTAGCAATTCGCGAAACATTTACGATTTAGTAGTGAATTGTGGAAACTCACATGATCTTGAGCTGGCACCGGCTTCAAAGTCTAAGAAAGTAATAAAAATCAATCCGTGAGTCCGTTGAAAGTTAGTAACCTGTTGATAATTAGGAGCTTGTTGATAGTTAGTAGCTTATTGATAGTTAGTAGCCTGTTGATAAGTTAGCCTCGAAAATGTTACAACAATTTTAAAAAACTATTTAATTCAATCAGCAAAATAACTTACATTTAACAGTTGGTATATAACATATGTATAATACATAAGACATGCAAACAAATTATTTTAATTTATAAATATATAATAATTACTTTAATTTATAAATATATAAAAAATAAATTTTTTGAATATAATTTGTCTAATGTTTAAAATTACTTGAAATTACTTTTTTTTAAATCCAGTTTATTAAGATTAAATAAACTTAAGCTGAATCTATGCCTAAAAATAGAATGCCCCCCTACTCTTATAAAAAATAAGTTACACTCTCTTGTATTATGACAAATGATGATATAAACATATCTAAATGTTATTTTTTGCTATTAAATATAATTTAGTGACAGTTCAACAACGTCAATGCTATGAGAGAAAGCACTATATTTGTGTTTTTTATTTCTATTTTGCAAAAACAAATATTAGGTCCGTAGGATGCCCTTAATCTGATTTTAGCACTGAAAGAAGTCAAATTATCTGTTGTACAAGCTTCGGAAATAGTTCTTTTTCTTCTCATAAACACAATATAAAAGTAAGATAAGAATTCTTTTTCTCAAGATAGTAGAGTTTTATTTTAAAAACTATGTAATTGTATCATAATAGTATTATAAACTATTGTAAAATCGTTTATAAAATAGACAAGATTATTGTTATTATTATTATTATTATTATTATTATTATTATTATTATTATTGCTGTTATTGTTATTATTATTACTATTATTATTATTATTATTAATCTAGTCTTTAAAAAAATTTCATTCCATTTATGTTTTTTTTTGGATATCAAGTGAACTTTAATTTCAGTGACGTCAATGATTTGATAAAAAGATTTTGTCGTGTTTGTTAACTTTTTTTTCTTCTTTTTTTTTTAATTTTTAAGAAAGAAAAAAATAATTAAAAACATCAGAAAAAACCATTTAGCAATGAAGAAAGAGGAGCCATTTTTAGGTTTAATAATTTTTAGGCAAGTAAGCCAACAAATCATTAAACCTAAAAACTCTTAAAAACCAAGGAGGTATAATAGCTTAGCTGGAGGGAGAACGAGGCCGAAAATCCGTTACAGTCTTTGTAATATAATTATTCTAGTAGCAAGTCAAAATGGCGCTTTTGCAAAAAAAAAGAAAAATTTTGAAATGTAATCAGTAAGCTTTGAGAGTTGTAAAATACTACCGATTCTTATCTAATCATTTATTAATTCCTAATCTAGAAATTTATTATTAATCGTTAAAAAACCTCAACAAAAAAATAACAACAAACTGACTATTGTTTACAAATTTTTTAAACTTCCATTTTTTTATATGCAATTTACTTATGACGTTTGAAACAGTATTATTGGATATCTTTTGTGAAGAGTGGAATGTGATCGGTTAACTTTAAATTATGATAATTCCGCGGTGTTTAATATATATATATATATATATATATATATATATATATATATATATATATATATATATATATATATATATATATATATATATTTACAAGATAAAAAATAAGAAACATAGTAAGAAACTTAAAATAGTTCTTTACAAATATAAGATACAGTATTACATATAACAGTTGTTAATGATACATATATAATTTTTATAAATTCATATTCAAATAGAGGGTAAAAAAGAAGATCACTTAAAAATATCAAAAGTATAATGTTAAGTCTTCGATTGTAAAAATGAGTACTTTAAGCTTTCGTTTTAAAAAAAAATAGTTACTTTGATGAATAAAATCCTCAGTAAAATTTTTTAAAATTATTTTATTTCATAAGAATGGTCCGCGATAATCAATACAAAATTTAAAAAGATTTGTTTGAAAAATGGGCTGCTTAATAAAATTATCATTACGTAAAATAAATTTATTTTTATCTTTTGATGAATACAAGTTATGGAAAGAGTTCGGGGATGAATTGGTTTTACATTTAAACATAAAGCAACAAAAATATTAAAAATATAAATATTAAACACTTTCATTTCAAACAATAAAGGCTTCGCATGAATATAACGGTCTTTAAAATATATAAGACGTGCTACATGCTTCTGCTAACAATAAAGAGGTTTAAGTTTATTTTTATTTGTACTACCCTAAGCAATGTTTGCATAGTTTATGTGACAATGAATAAATGAGTGATATAATTGTACTAAAGTATGTTTATTTAAAACATTTCTATACTTTTTGAAATTTTACTTGATAAGTTTTTAATGTGATTTTTCCATGTAAGATTTACATCTATACAAACACCTAGAAAGTTGGTTACTGATACTTGTTTAATTTGTATACTGTCAATAACAAGATGAGGAATGTTAATTGGCAGTTTATGTTTTTTGATAAGAGGATGGAAAATAATTCATTTAGTTTTATCAATGTTAAGAGATAATTTTTTGGTCTTAAACCAGTCAGATATTTTGATTAACTCGATGTTCACGTAATGAAATAGAGTAGGAATACTATTGTGTGACATAAATAAATTAGTGTCATCAGGAAACATAATTGCTATTAAATCCGAGACTTTGTATAGATCATTTATATAAATAAGGAAAAGAAGAGGTCCTAATATGGATCCTTGAGGAACTCCACATGTAAATTTAACAAATTTGATGAAAATGTTTCATTGGCGTGAACAAATTGTTTACGATTAGTTAAATAACATTTCAACCATTTTAAAACAATGCCTGTTATACCATAATACTTTAACTTTTTAGCAAGAATTTTATGATCAATGGTATCAAACGCTTTCGCTAAATCAATAAATATTTCCAATCTGAATTTAGAATTGTTAAATGAGTCTAATATACTTCTTGACGCTTTAAAAAAAATGTCAAGAAGTAGTTCAAAGAAATCAAACAATAGGTAAATTTTATTAAACTATATAAACAAATGCTATGCAACTAGCATGTTGGCAATTTTAGTTTCACTTTTTTCTTTGCCTCTTTTTATTATTTAATTAGTTATTATTGGAAACCGAATCCTTTGATAGTTTTAATTTGTTATTAAAAAATACATTAACAAGAATTTTTGCTGAAAACGTGATTCCCTAATTTTCATGACTTTCACAAACAAATTTTCTTTTTGGTGTGTATTTATGTAACAGGTATGTAGATGATTTAATGACTGGAATTGATAGAGATGAAATTTCATTCTCAATTAAATCCAAAATAGCAAATACACTGCAAACAAATTCTGAAAGCTGTTTGGATGGAACAAATTGTCCACCACGTGACAAGAGAGATAGATAAAAATTATTTTCAAGATCAATGTCTCCACCTTTCAAACATGCTTTGCAATTTTCACATTTAGACCTTTTTGACAATTTTTTTGCAACATAGCCTGCTATAGTTATTGCCACTTCTTGACTATTATAAGCAAGGGAACTTTCCATAATTTATTCTACTCGATTTTCAAACAGTTCATCGAGTATTGTCAAGAAAGAATGAATATCTGGTATTAGATTTTCTTCCCAGAAGTTTATATGCTCCTTAATTAAAGAACGGCATGACAAAATTTTTTCTGAATTTAAAACTTCTCTTAAACTTACAAGAAATCTTCCCCCACTCATTTGCCTGTATTGTGAGAAACGTCTCTCAATTCGATCACTTTGTAAACGAGCTGTCATTATGTAATCTTATCCATCATTCAGGAGCTCCTCAACAAGCAGTGCTTGAGCACGTAAGGTATTTACAAATGCTGATGCAGTTTGAGTTGTGAGGGTGAATGCAGGTGAAAGAGACCACTGATTGATCCAATCAGCCAGAGATTGGTAAAAAATCATTTTATTGTCTCCT